AATGATTACTGAAATTGCATTGATATGCGAATCATATTTGTTTTTATTGAGCGACAAAGGCCATAGGACACATCCCTGTGTAGCTACAGACAGTTGGCTTGCTTTTAAATAAATGCATGTTGGGCTTGTTTCATAAAATGTAGCCCCTTCGAGGCTTTCCATAACATCTACTCCAAGCCTGTCATGAGTCTCAGGTTTTACTGAGGTCCAGAAGGACACATTGCAAAACTCGTACTCTGCCTCTTACAAATCCCCACAGGGTATTTCTCCTCATCAATGGCCGCTTGGCCTATGCACCTTGGGACCCACCTACCCCCAGCGCCTTGTCCTTGTTTTCTCAGACCCGCTCAGGTCTGCCTCTTTCCACTCTTTCCAGACTTTTCCCAGTCACATCATCTCTCCACCCCAGGTGCTATCTGACTCAGAAGCCCCGGAGAGCCAGCCCCAAGCAACCTACTAAAAGGATGCACCCACACCAAAGCTAGTCTTCTCTGAGATTGGATTTTTCCATCTAGCTCCTTAGAAAATACGTTTTTCTCTATATGGTCATATTCAGTTTGAAAGCACCAAACTGAAAGCTTAATTCTATTGTTTTAGTTTAGAGCTAGAAGGCCTTTATTCTTTAGATGATGATGCTGATAATCACAGATGAATGAAGAACATCTGCTTTTCTTTCTGTCATTTCTCAAGCACTTATGTGGTATCACAACGAGCCAGATACTGCTGTGTTTCAAAAATATTAAGTCACGGAGTCATCAAGAACCACCTCATGAGACATTTCTGACCACTATCGTCACCACCCATGGACTGCAGCTCAATTCTGACACTGACTACCTATAGCATGGACCCCACAAATTAAGGGCAAGGCTGTCCTCCCTTCAGACACAGCCACAATTTTGGGAGTCTCCATGCTCACCCACATTTCTGACCCACGAGCTACCAGCTCAGGGGCTCCCACAACTCCCTCAGGTTTAATAATTCATTAGAACAACTCGCAGAGCTCAGGAATGCACTATACTTACTATTACAGCTTTCTTAGGGAAGGTATGAATCAGGATCAGCCATGCACACAGACATGCAGGGTGAGGTGTGGGAATCAAGGCACATCACACCCCAAGCACACAGAGGTGTTCACCAACCAGGAAACTCCACTGGGCTTGCAGAGTCTTCCTTGAGGTTTGGTTCCATAGACATGATGGCCTCCCGGAGGCCAGGCTGGCTCACTGCTCAGTCATTCCATCCCAGCACTAGGTTTTCTGGTATGACCAGCCCCCACCATGAGGCACCTTGTGAGCATAAATTCAAGTGTGATCCCAGGGATCCCGGACAACAGAGCCAGTCCTATGGCTTGGAAATTCCAAGGGCTGAGCATCTTCCCTCCCAGCAAGCAAGGAGAAAGGCCCGGACAAATTCTTTACTATACAGCACCCACATTTTACACTGGAGGCAACATGTGGCAAAGACTCTGACTAAATTGCTGAAGTCACAGAGCCAGCAGGTGCAAGCTAGCATCTGAACCAGGATGTGTGGTTCTGGGTCTCCGTCCATAAGGACCACAGCACACGGCCTCACAGGTCGCCTCGGGGAGTGCGTGTAGACAGTCAGAGCAAGACAGACCAAGGGTTTGATAAATAACATGGCCCCAGATGGGAAATATGGCCCCATGTTGTTTCATTTGACTTGAGCTTCAGCTTAAAAGCAGATCAGCAGTCAACTGTAAATGCTTCTCATTTCTGCAGATGGGAAATGTCTTCCTAATTACAGACTATCTCCTTAAGTTGTCATATGAAGAAACACTTATGCTAACTTGACAATACTCCACACCTAAAGTTGACTGACCGTAAGAGGGAAACTCAGGTCTGCAATTTCCTCTTTCAGGCCAAATAAGTTTTCAAATTGCAAATAAAAATGATCTCCTTGCTGAAACAATGGGAGAGTGGGCACATGTGTGTGACATGAGTCAAGTTACTTGAGTTCTGAGTCTCAGACAGGGATGGATAACATGGGGATAGAACAGCAAGTGTTTGTGTTACCGCTGAAACTAATAATACACTGTATGTTAACGAAATGGGATTTAAATAAAAAATTTTAAAAAGAAATATTTGTGTCGTGTGTGTCAATATATTGAAACTGAAAAAAAATATAAATAAAGAGAAACGTCATGGGGATACGATACGGCAAAGGGAATATAGTGGATGACACTGTAATGGCGTTGTCTGGTGATGCACGGTGACTACACTTGTAGTGAGCACAGCATATAGTGATGTTCAATCACTATGTTGTACGCCTGGAACTAATGTAACATTGTGCGTCAATAATATTCAAATTAAAAAATTAACAACAAAAAATGAAAGAAAGAGCATACTTGTGTTGTTCTGCGGATTAAAGGCAATGACCCACACAAACACTCTGCACAAATCCTGAAGTCTGGTCACCACATGGGAACTGTCAACTGTTGGCGTGAATCGCTCAACACCCACAACTGTTCAGCGAATGACTCCACCCCGCCAGGTACTAGGTGGAATCGCTGTGGATTCCAACTCCAGGACCCCATGAAATAGAGCACTCGCAGCAAACGTTGGCACACATCAAACGTTCCAGGGATGACAGACCCTGGGAGGGCATTTCCATGTTCCAACACCACAGGGCGCATGCCACCACAGCCGTCTTGTTCGTGGCAATCACGGCATACACGACACTGAGATCCAAGTCAGGACACGAGAGACAGCACGGGGAGGAGACCAGAAGGCAAGAAAGAACAGAAGGGGGAATGGCAGTCAAGTACGACAACAGTTGTTGCAAATTTAAAGCAGACAGAGGAAGCCTGAAAGCTTTACAGACAGGAAAGACTGTCACTGGGAGGGCTCTGGAGTTAAGTCTAACCTGCTCACGAACTTGAAAGTGAGGCAACAAACAGACCCCTTAAAATTGTTCACTTAATAGAAGATTATCTTAGAAACATGGAATATGAAATAATTCAATAATACAGGAATTTCCTCGTGATTAAATGTTTAACCAAAGACAGGGTGGCTGTTAACAGTGGAGTATAGCGGGAGTGACGTTCTTATCCTAACCCATGATTTGGCACACAAAGCCTCTCAAGACAACAGGAGTTGATACTGGAAAGAGAATTTGACTTGTATGCTGAGATATCAGAACCGCTCAACTATTTCTTAAAAATTTAGCAAAATATATCCTAGGAAAATGTAAAAGGAGTGCGTCAACTGTAGAAGGCAAAGGAATAGGAAGTTGGATTGAAAATTGAAAGACAGGCGATAATAATTCAGATGAGGTAATGCGGATTAAGTCCTCAGAAAGAGGGCTGCTGATAAAAGGTGGGAAAAGAGACTTTCTGAAGATAAACACAGATTACACGGAGAAGAAGAGAAGGCTGAATCAGTTCTTTCTAATCATATGCTTCTCATACCGATGAATAACACACTATCCTTTCTTGGGCAAAGTAATGAGATCAAAGAAGCCACGAGCTTCATGGGAGTGCTTGCTCCTACCTGGAGCCGAGGAAAACTGGCCAATGTGACAAGGCCTACTTGCTCTTTCCCCTTCTTCCAGGAGTTTTATTTTGTTCTAATTCCTTCTTCACCTTCCTAAAGCAGAGGAACTTCTAGAAAGAGCTGAAGGGCAGGCTTCACATTTAAAAATTCAGGTTATCAAACCATTCAAGAAGGTGCTTGGTTTAAACCAGGGCAACTTGGATTTTCACAGAACAATAGCATTCGTTTATTTTAATGGAGGGAAAGGATAGAAATGGTTTGGGGAAAACTCAGCGATGCTGAGGTGAGGAGAGAGACAGAAGACCAAACCTTCCTGAACACCAGGGCTACACCACTGACTCCAGCAACTGGTGTGTGAAGAAATGCTACTTTGTAAATGATGCACAAGAGATCTGTGAAAGAAACACGCGTATGTTTTCTGTTAATCCTGCCAATGCTCTGATTCATTTCATATATGTTCTCTATCAAAAGAACAACGTGTTAGGGGCACCTGGCTGGCTCAGTCGGTTGAACGTCCGACTCTTGGTTTCGGCTGAGGTAATGATTTAGGCTCCCAGTTCATCGTGGAGTCTGCTTGAGAGTCTCTCCCTCTCCCTCTCCCCTCTGCTTCTGCTCTCTCTAAAATAAATAAATAAATTTTTAAAAAAAGAACGGCGTGTTAAAAATGTTGTTTTCAACCTGAAATATTTTTTCCTTGTGTATTTCCTTCTTTTGTTGAGATAGGATCCACCTAGCACAAAATTCACACTTTTAAAGTTTACAATCCAGTGCTTTTTTTTTTTTTTTAGCATATTCACAAATTTGTGTAAGCATCACATTTACTTCTAGAACATTTCCATCATCCCCAAAAGAAACCTCATATCCAGTAAGAGTCATTCCCCATTGCCCCCTGTCCCCACTCCTGGCAACCACTAATATCCTTTCTGTTTCTATGGATTTGCCCATTCTCCACATCTCATGCAAATGGGATCATACGATATGTGGCCTTTGGTGTCTGGCTTCACTCGCTCGGCATAACGTTTTTGAGGTTCATCTTTGTTGTAGTATATGTATCAGTATTTAGGAGATATTTTAGACAATCAGAAATCATTAAGTTTTGTACTTTAGAGAGAAAAAAGTGAATATTTGTATTTCCTACTTGAGGAATTTAGCCATTACCATGGTCACTGGGAATCTTACCAATCAGTTTAGCTAAAAACGTGGAGTATGTTTAAAATATCATCTTTGGTCTCATGGTGACAAACCTGATCTAATAACTAAATAAAATAATAGTGTTTAAAAGAATCAGAGGATTTTTCAGAAAATTAGGCTAAACTCATCATTGTCAACAAGTATTTTTTGGTAAAGATGTTAACATTCAGCTTCAATTTAGTTATGAGTCCATCTTAATACTGACTATAAAATGGTCGGCAGGGATGGCAGAGAAAATAATCAACTCTTCCATGAGCAAGATCTACGATGTTAGCACTTTACAGTGAAGGCACTTACAGCTTGCTGGAGAGAGCTGGGAGGTCATGGAGGATCTCTTCATAGGGCTCCTCAGAGGCCAAGGCAGGAACAGATAAATGCTCTTTTACCCTTTCTTCCCAGGCAACTTCGGCTTTCAACAGCATTTCCTCAATAAACTCAGATGCGGCGATATCTACAAGAAACAACAGGAACATCAGAAAAAGCGGATGCTGAGATCACAGAAAACTGTTCCCTTTCAATGATTCTGGTGTGCTTAAAACATGAAAACTGATCAACACCTAGAGCAAAATGAAAAACACTAAAAGTTTATGGTAGGAATAAAATTGCAGGACTGCCATTTTAAAAGACGATTGTGTTTTGTATCAGTGGCATATTTAATTACAAATGAAATGAAAAAATATAAAAATAATATTCACCAAGTGGTGATGTATAAAACGTAAAATCACGGAGAAGCTAAGCTTGAAAGAACTTGATGTCATTTTATTCTCAGTGCAACTCTTCCTTCATCTTGATGAATAAGAATCAAGTTGGTGAAAATAGTTACACATTCCCAAAGACCGGGTTACTATAAAACTTGTAGTAGGCATTCTAGAAGCATCCATTTGTAGATGTACAAATAAATAAATAGTTGCATTATGAAAACGTAAGTCTAACCTCTGTGATCTGTTTTTCCAATCTGAAATACAATTATATTCCCTTATATAATATGTGTTAACAGTAACATCTGAATATACTGGGGCAGCAATATAGATAGATGGGCATTAATCAAATTAATACTTACTTTTTTTTTTAAAGATTTTATTTATTTATTTGAGAGAGAGAGAATGAGAGGTAGAGAGCACGAGAGGGAAGAGGGTCAGAGGGAGAAGCAGACTCCCCACCGAACAGGGAGCCCGATGTGGGACTCGATCCCGGGACTCCAGGATCATGACCTGAGCCGAAGGCAGTCGCTTAACAAACTGAGCCACCCAGGCGCCCCTTACTAACAATTGAAACTGGAAGTCAAAAGATCCTGAAGAAAAATTCACAATAATAACAATTAGGAACATAATGGACAAAACTGCTCCTTTTCAATCCTCCTGACTAAAGTGCATGACCACCTGTGTCTACAAATTCGAGTTATGAGGCTTGATGGGCTGGATGAGTTAATTCAGCCACCATAAGAAGATGTTTATGCCAAGATTTTATCACCATTTGCTCTAGGTTAAATCATATCCAGTAACGAGGAGGAGGCAGCTTGGCTTCCTCACCTTGGGTGATTATTTCTGTCCCACCTAACAACTACACCCCAAACTGCTTTTGTCCCCCAGATAATTTTTTCTGTATCCACTCCAAATTCAAGGAACACAAAATAGCAAGAATAGAATAGAATACTGATGACAATTTTCATTTGCTTGGTCTACTTTCCTGTTCTCTGTGCTATTATGTTATCTGGTTCATTTTTCTTGCTGCTGGATTAGATGTTGGTACCTCCTGCATTTACTCGAAACGCTCACCGCATTATAGCTCTTTGTTCCCTTGTGTGTGAAAGAACCGTTTTCCTTCAATCAACAAGTGATCATTGAGAGTCTTCTATCAGCCCATCACTGTGTCTCTCTTGACCAACAAGGCATGGAAAATGGGTTACACTGATGGTGGACTAGGCATGGCCAACACAGGCAAAGAGTCTAAGACAGTTATCCTACCCTGAGGTGGACAGGGCTGAGACTAGACCAGACATTTAGTCACGTCCTGGGCTCTAGGACTGTGGGTTGCCTCGGGTGTCCATTTTGGCACATTTAGGTCTAACACACTAGACCTAAAAGGTATAAGTGTGACACATGGGAGTCCATGTGGTCAAGGATCAATTGTATATTCTCTTCTCTGGGAAAGAAGCCAGGGATATGAACTTGACAAATGTGATCTGTCAGAACTACAGTAAACAGAGGATGTGACATATTTCACAATAAATACATTAAACAAATAGAAAAAGCCCACAAATTTCTATTTGCTCTTTTAATATTTGTCACTAGATATGCTTTTGTCATTAATACTAAGGTTACTACACTAGCATTAACATTTGCCTGATTCCAAAGTTTGAAACTATAACACTATCTTAGAGCTTCATTTGTTAAATCTTCAGTTTATTTTAGCAGGTAAGATGAATAAACATTAAACAATATTTAACTCCAATAAAATAATAGAGCAAATCTCTCATCCTGTCTTAAGCTGGAGGTTTATCATGTAATCATATTCCTGTAAGTACATCCAATGAGAAATCTCAGGCATAATGTGCTTTTAGGTTATTAGAGGTATGGTAACAAGAGTAAGTAGAATTAAGTTATTAAGCTCAATTATGACCTTCAAGCCTTTCATATTATTTTTTTACCTATGCTACACTTTTCTCTGTTACTTAGAATTTTCATTTTTAATAAACAAAAAACTTCTGAGTAAATTTGTTGTCAAATTATAAAAGCTAGAAAATGAATGCAACATCCATGTTCTTAAATTAGTAGATGAATATTATTGAAGAACAGTGGTAAAAAGAACTCTAGAAATGTTCAAAAGATACTTATCAGAAATAGTAACATTAAATTAAGATTTTGAAAACTTTAAATTAGCTTGAGGATGTCAGTCTCGATTCCTTGCAGTATACTATCTGTGTTGAAAAAAAAAGATTATTATTTAAAATTACCCTGATGAACAAGTATGTACTTGAAATGATAAGAAACCCATTAAATGACAGCAAAAATATATTTGAAAGTAAGTGACACTGAAGGAATCACTGTGCAGGAAGTTGAAAACCTCAAAAGCAAATTTCAGGGAAGTACAAGGGCCCCCAATGATCAGAACCATCCTGTAATGCCCTCTTGTGCAGGAGGTGGGCATGGGGGTTTGGGAACAGTGCCCAAATGGAGCATCTGCACAGAGCTTCTCAGGGGAGGCTGACTCGCTCGGCAGCCACGTTAATGATGGATGAACAAGTTCCGGTAGGACAGGAAGGAGTCAGTAACCGCTCCATGGTCCCAGGATGCTCATAACCTACCTGAGGGCTTCTCTTCATTGCAGTTCAGAAGGTTTGGATTTGCCTGATGCATCAGAAGAAGCTTCACCAGGTTTGTCTGAAACAGTAAAGTTCACTGAAATAAGATTCATCAGGGAGTGGTACACAGGGGTGGTCTCCAGGGCGCTTCCAGCCGGCTGGAGGAGGAGGCATGAGCATATCCCACCCTAAACGTTTCTTACTCTCTCTGCTTCCAGTTTTCCCAGTTCCTTTTAAAAAGATAACAGACATTCAAACCAAAAATTACTTATCAAATGAGGAATAAATTGCTGGGGATTTGAAAAGGCTCACTTAACGCCTTTCAGGTTTATTTTAGGGCATCTTGTGGGAGGAATTACATGTTATATGTGTTTTGTTTTAATTGAGCGACTCATTAACGTCTCACTGGTCCGGTCCAATCACTGCAGCCCCACAGACAAATATGAACTAAGGCCACGGGGGAGTTAGGAAAACCTAAATGTAACTCGCGCTATAAAAAAAGAAAGCAACTCGATGAGAGGCTAATATATTCTTTAAGTCTTATTATAAAATATAAATTCAAAGAGTATATATATATATGTGCATGAGCCATTGAAAGAGAAGTAATGAAATAATTTCCAGTGTATCCAACTTTTTTTTTTAAGATTTTATTTATTTGAGAGAGAGAGAGAGAGAATGAGAGAGAGAGCATGAGAGGGGGGAGGGTCAGAGAGAGAAGCAGACTCCCCACCGAGCGGGGAGCCCGATGTGGGACTCGATCCCGGGACTCCAGGATCATGACCTGAGCCGAAGGCAGTCGCTTAACCAACTGAGCCACCCAGGCGCCCTATCCAACTTTTTTTTAAAAGAGTTATTTATTTTAGAAGGGAGAGCATGGAGGGAAAGAGAAGAAGGAAAGGGAGAGAGGGAATCTCAAGCAGACTCCCCGCTTAGTGCAGAGCCCAACGTGGGGCTCAATCTCACGACCCTGAGATCATGACCTGAGCAGAAATCAAAAGTCAGACACTAAACTGACTGAGCCACCCAGGCTCCCCCCAACTTTTTAAAATAGGTCACTCATGGTATCCTTCTGTGTTTCTTCCCAAAATTATCCCTCTCCCTATTTCCCAGAGTTGACCACTCTCATGAAATTTGGGCTATCTGGGGCTATGATTTCTTTATACGTTTAACCCTTATGTACAGGAGTACCCCCGAAACAACATATTGCTCAGCTTTATCTGTTTGTGACATTTAGAGAAGTGAAGTCCTAGTGTGTGTATTCACTGATGCCTTGCTTTCATGACTGCATTCTTGAGAATCTTCAAAGGTGATGGATCGAAACAAGATTTATTCATTTTCTTGGCTGCACATAACTACACCGTACAGATATATCAGAATTAACCTGCCTTCCTCACTGGACATTCAAGCCATTTGCTGTCATTTATTTTTACAAATAACGTTGCTACAAATATTCTCATTTATCTTTCTTGGTGCATGTGAGCAAGGATCTCTCTTCAGGACAGATGCACATAGGACTGAAATTGCTGGGATAAAGGTTTGGACATCATCAAAGTGGCTTAGATAGCTCCAACTGTTTTTCAAAGAGCTCAAATGTCCACCCCCATACCCAACAAGAGTTCCTGTTGCACCACATTCTATTTTAATAATTTTGTTATTGTGCATTTACATATCACTAGATTCACATTCCCTCCAACATTTGACATTGTTATTTTTTAAAAATTTAGCTATCATACTGGGAATGAAGAAATATTTCAGTCTACTTTAACTTATTTCCATGATGACAAAGGATACTGAACACCCTTCCATGTGTTTAGTGGCCCCTCCTAGACTTTCTTTGGTGAAGTGTCTGTTCAGGACTTCTTTGCCCATTTATTACTGGAGTGTTTATCTTTGTATTAGTGATTTATGCTCTTATATGTTCTAGATACATCTGTCAGGTATGTGTATTACAAATAGTTCCTCCCGTTCTATGGCTTGCTTGTTCATATTCTTGAAAATGTTTAAGACCAGAAGAATATTTTAACTTTGTTTTGCTTTTGTGAAAGTGCAACATCTGTATTTTTTTCTCAAGTGCTCAGTACTCTTTATGTTCAAAATAACTCTTTGCCCACTCAAAGGCCATGACAATACCATACTATATTTTCTCCTAAAGGCTTTATAATTTTAACTTTTATATTTATGGTCCATCTCAAGTGAGTTTTCACAAATGACAGAGGAAGGTTCAAATTTATTTTGGTCCATCACCCATTTGTTTCTCAGCAATATTTCTTAAAAAGACCTTTTTTCTCTTACTGAATTGTTTTGGTACCTTTGTAGAAAATTAATTGACTATATATGTTCCTGCGTGTTTCACTGATCTATTTGTCTATCCTTACTACATTTCCTAACTACTTTGATTAGTGTAGCTTATAGCCAGTATTGAAATCTTATAAGTGAAAGACTTTTATAGTAAGTCTTGAAAGAAGCCTGTAATTTTCTTATTTTTTTAAGATGATTTTGTCTATTTAGGTATTTTGTATCTCCATATAAATTTTAGAATGGGGGTGCCAGGGTGGCTCAAGTCAGTTGAGTGTCTGCCTTCAGCTCGGGTCATGATCCCAGGGTCCTGGGATCGAGTCCCGCATCAGGCTCCCTGCTCCGTGGGAAGCCTGCTTCTCCCTCTCCATCTCCCCCTGCTTGTGTTCCCTCTCTCGCTGTGTCTCTCTCTGTCAAAAAAAAAAAAAAAAAAAAATTTAGAATGAACTTTTCAATTTCTGAAAAAAAAGGGTTTAAAATTTTGATTGGAATTGCTTTAAATGGATACCATATTAATTTTATATGGTTTTTTAAAAACCACAAATTTAGTGGTTTAAATGAAAAAAAATATTATCTTACAATTCTGTAGGTCAGCATTCTGACACAGGTCTCACTGGGTTAAAATCAGGGTGTCAGCAGCACTATGTTTCCTTTGGCTCTCGGGGCAAATGTGTTCCTTGCCTTTTCTAGCTTCTAGAGGCAACTCACGTTCCTTGGCTTGTGGTCCCTTCCCTCATCTTCAAGACAACAATGTTGCAGGTGTCTGCCCATTTTTGCATAGGCACACCGCAGGAGGACCCTGAGCCAGGAATGGTTCTCTGCTTTTAAAGACCCATGTGATGAGACTGGGCCCACCTGGGTAATCCAGGAAACTCTTGCCATCTCAAAATCTGTAACTAATTGCAATTGCAAAGTTCTTTTGCCTTTTCAGTGAACAAACATATTGACAGGTTTTGAGGTTTAGGGTGTGGACATCTCTGGGGGCCACTATTCAGCCTTCCACAAATATCTTAAAAATATTCACTGTCAAAACACATGATTATGGCTTACTCCTCCATTTATTTGGGTCTTCTTTAATCCCTCACTGCGGTGTTCCATAGTTTTCAGTGTAGAAATCTTTTGTTAAAATATTTTGTTAAATATATTGTTATATATTTTAAGTTTTTAATGCCACTGTAAACAACTTGATAAATGCACTTAATGGGTCTAGTCTTTCCATTATTTTGCTGATTCCTTTGGCATTCTTATCCTCCTTTCTCCTTTCCCAACTTTGTCCTTTGTTTCTATTTCTTGCTTTATTATATTGATAAGAACGAGACTGGCTTTTCCAATCTTGGGTTTTGCTTTTGTAACATGTGTTGTGGTTCTCCGCTTCACATCCAGGCACACCAAGGCATCTCCCCACCCACCAATGATTGTTCTTGTTAGAATTTTCATTAAAAAAATCAGTTAGGTTTTAAATAATCTACTCATTGTTAGCTTTCCCAAAGCCCATTCAAAATTGGCATTTGGTTTTGCAGAACACGGATTCTATCAGTAACATTTAAATTATGTTACAGTGCTTATATGTAGAAGTTTATTTTTATTTCCAAATAGAGAGTTTACTAAAGCAAGAGAGATTCTCTTGAAATCTGAAAGATAAAATATATAGAGCAGATTCCCAGGACATTAAAACAGGTACCGGAAAGAGTTTTGTTTTATATTAAAGATGAGAGTGATGTGCTTGTGTTTAAACCACATGAAAGAGAAGAAGGAAAGGAAGATGGACCGCTGGAGGGAGGGAAGGACAAAGGAAGGAAAGGAAGAAGAAAAAAAAAAGCCAAAAATGAGCTAAGACTGCCTTTGGTTTTCCCAAATTTGAAAGAATAGTAATAAACCTAAATGCTTTCATATCTCTGCAAAAATGTCAGACAGATGCCTAACAATCCCTTTGCATTTCTAAATTCAATTCAGTGTGTCCAGGCCTCCAAAGAGAAATGTGTGCCATCACTCAGCAAACCACTTCTCTCCACAGCTTCAACTGGAACCGCAGAAAGCATTTCAGTAATAAAAGCAAAATGTTTCCTACATGAAAATCTTTAGCAATAAAAGCAACTCCATTTTATTTCAGGCCCATAAAAAGAGGCATTCATGTGTGGAACGAGGACATTTCTCTCATTTGGGGAATTCCTTTCTTTTTTTAGAGCCAGTTTGCCCCATGTGCTTCCAATCAGAAATCAGAGAGGCACGTCACAGAACTAAATTAAACAGGCCCGTGCTAATTTCACTTACTCTCCTCTGGAACATGGAACATTTGCTTTACCCTCACAAAAGACCTTTAGGTAAATTGCTTCCAATGCGAACAGGTTGAGTGCATAACCCAGTAAGAATTCATCACTAGTACAAAAGCGTTATAATCACCAAAGGCTCCAGAGGATAAGGTGAGTGAGTGAGAGAGAGAGAGAGAGAGAGTGTGTGTGTGTGTGTGTGTGTGTGTTGCAGGTGGTGAGTGTGGAAATGGAGACCCTGCAGGCTAACTGAAAATGTACTTAAGCTGAAATATAAATCCACACAAGTTTCACTGGATAAGGACTTTATTCATTCTTTGGAAAGTTGTCCTTCAGTGTGGATAAATTCAGCAAAATTAATTCCTCGATGGTCATTTAAATTATTACCTCTTTAAAGAGTTGAACAATGGCAATGAGTGTTTGGACGTAGCTGGTTTCCAGTTGGGACGCTAGAAGAGACTGTTTCACTTGATCTAGTAACAAGAAACTGAAGTGTTAAAGGTCCCAGAACTCACAA